CCAACTTCACAGATCACAAAGGTATAAAACTAGAAATAAATTGTACAAAAAAAACAAAAAGGCTCACAAACACATGGAGGCTTAACAATGTACTCCTAAATAATCAATGGATCAATGACCAAATTAAAACAGAGATCAAGCAATATGTGGAGACAAATGAAAACAACAGCACAATACCCCAACTTCTGTGGGACACAGTGATGGCAGTTATAAGAGGAAAGTATATAGCAATCAGGGCCCACCTGAGGAAAGAACAATCCCAAATGAATAGTCTAAAGTCATAATTATTGAAACTGGAAAAAGAAGAACAAATGAGGCCCAAAGTCAGCAGAAGGAGGGATATAATAAAGATCAGAATAGAAATAAATAAAATTGAGAAGAATAAAACAACAGAAAAAATTAATGAAACCAAGAGCTGGTTCTTTGAGAAAATAAACAAAATAGATAAACCCCTAGCCGGAGTTAATAAGAGAAAAAGAGAATCTACACACATAAACAGAATCAGAAATAAGAAAGGAAAAATCACTATGCACACCACAGAAATACAAAGAATTAGTAGAGAATACTATGAAAACCTATATGCTAACAAATTGGATAACCTAGAAGAAATGGACAACTTTCTAGAAAAATGCAACCTTCCAAGACTGAACAAGGAAGAAACAGAAAATCTAAACAGACCAATTACCAGCAACAAAATTGAATCAGTAACCAAAAAATACCCAAGAACAAAACCCCCGGACCAGATGGTTTCACTGGTGAATTTTATCAATCATTTAGAGAAGATATAATAACAATTATCCTTAAAATTTGCCAAAAAATAGAAGAGGAGGGAATAATCCCAAACCCATTCTATGAAGCCAGCATCACTCTAATACCAAAACCAGGCAAAGACACCACAAACACACACACAAAAAAACTACAGACCAATATCCCTGATGAACATAGATGCAAAAATACTCAACAAAATATTAGCAAACCAAATTCAAAAATACATGAAGAGGATCATACACCATGATCAAGTGGGATTCATCTCAGGGGTGCAAGGATGCTACAACATTTGAAAATCCATCAACATCATCTACCACATCAACAAAAAGAAGGACAAACACCACATGATCATCTCATAGATGCTGAAAAAGAATGTGACAAAATTCAACATCCATTCATGATAGAAACTCTCAAAAAAATGGGTATAGAGGGCAAGTACCTCAACATAATAAAGGCCATATATGACAGACCCACAGCCAACATTATACTTAACAGAGAGAAGCTGAAAGCTTTTCCCCTAAGACCAGGAACAAGACAAGGATGCCCACTCTCCCCACTTTTATTCAACATAGTTCTGGAGGTTCTAGCCATGGCAATCAGAGAACACAAGAAATAAAAGGCATCCAGATTGGTAAGGAAGAAGTCAAACTGTCACTGTTTGAAGATGACATGATATTGTACATAACAAACCCTAAAGACTCCACTCCAAAATTACTAGAACTAATATCGGAATTCAGCAAAGTTGCAGGATACAAAATTAATACACAGAAATCTGTGGCTCTCCTATACACTAACAATGGACTAACAGAAAGAGAAATCAGGAAAACAATTCCATTCACAATTGCATCAAAAAGAATAAAATACCTAGGAATAAACCTAACTAAGGAAGTGAAACACCTATACCCTGAAAACTACAAGACACTCTTAAGAGAAATTAAAGAGGACACTAATAAATGCAAATTTATCCCATGCTCTTGGGTAGGAAGAATTAATATTGTCAAAATGGCTATCCTACCTAAAGCAATCTACAGATTCAATGCAATCCTATCAAAATACGGACAGCAATCTTCAACAAACTGGAAAAAAATAGTTCTAAAATTTATATGGAACCACAAAAGAACTTGAATAGTCAAAGCAATCCTGAGAAAGAAGAATGAAGTAGGGATAATCTTCCTTCCCAACTTCAAGCTCTTCTACAAAGCCACAGTAATCAAGACAATTTGGTGCTGACACAAGAACAGACCCATAGATCAGTGGAACAGAATAGAGTCCACATATTAACCCAAGCATATATTAATATACAATAAAGGAGCTATGGATATACAATGGGGAAATGGCAGCCTCTTCATCAGCTTGTGTTGGAAAAACTGGACAGCTACATGTAAGAGAATGAAACTGGATCACTGTCTAAGTCCAGACACAAAAATATACTTGAAACAGATCAAAGACCCAAATGTAAGTCATGAAACCATAAAACTCTTAGAAGAAAACATAGACAAAAATCTCTTGGAAATAACATGAGCAACTTCTTTATGAACATATCTCCCCAGGCAAGGGAAACAAAAGCAAAAATGAACAAGTGGGACTATATCAAACTAAAAAGCTTCTGTACAGCAAAGGACACCATCAGTAGAACAAAAAGACATTCTACAGAATGGGAGAATATATTCATAAATGACGTATCTGGTGAGGGGTTGACATCCAAAATATATAAAGAGCTCATGTGCCTCAACAAACAAAAAGCAAATAATCTAATTAAAAAATGGGCAGAAGATCTGAACAGACACTTCTCCAAAGAAGAAATTTATATGGCCAACAGGCACATGAAAAGATGCTCCACATCACTAATCATCAGGGAAATGCAAATTAAAACCACAGTGAGATATCACCTCACACCAGTTAGGATGGCCACCATCCAAAAGACAAACAAAAACAAATGTTGGTGAGGATGTGGAGAAAGGGGAACCCTCCTACAGTCCTGGTGTGAATGTGAATTAGTTCAATCATTGTCAAAAGCAGTATGGAGTTTCCTCAAAAAACTAAAAATAGAAATACCATTTGACCCAGGAATTCCACTTCTAGGAATTTACCCTAAGAATGCAGGAGCCCAGTTTGAAAAAGACAGATGCACCCCTATGTTTATTGCAGCACTATTTACAATAGCCAAGAAATGGAAGCAACCTAAGTGTCCATCAGTAGATGAATGGATAAAGAAGATGTGGTACATATACACAAAGGAGTATTATTCATCCATAAGATGAAAACAAATCCTACCATTTGCAACAACATGGATGGAACTAAAGGGTATTATGCTCAGTGAAATAAGCCAGGTGGAGAAAGACAAGTATCAAATGATTTCACTCATCTGTGGCATATAATAACAAAGCTAAAACTGAAGGAGCAAAACAGCAGCAGAATCACAGAACCCAAGAATGGACTAACAGTTACCAAAGGGAAAGGGACTCGGGAGGATGGATGGGAAGGGAAGGAGAAGAGGAAAAAAGGGGTGTTACAATTTGCTCACATAATGTTGAGGGGGGCACAGGGAAGGTAGTATAGCACAGAGAAGACAAGTAGTGATTCTGTAGCATCTTACTATGCTGATGGACAGTGACTGTAATGGGGTATGTGGTGGGGACTTGACAATGGGGATAGTCTAGTAACCATAATGTTGTTCATGTAATTGTACATTAATGATACCAAAATAAAAAAAAAATAATACATTACCTTTTCTCTCATCAGAAGACAAAAGCAAAATAATTATTTATAGTCTCAGAAATGTCATGTCTTGCAGAAACTGATTTCAGGAATTCCAGTTTTCTGATCTAGACTCAATAACAACCCCTACAAACTTTTGTGTTAAAGGACAGTAATGTGTTCTGGCTTTCTTGGAAACCACCACTGGAAGGTTACACATACACTGTTATCACAATGACGCATCTTCAGGAGGAAGTGACCAAGTTTTATTAGGACCATCCATGTCCTCTTACAAGGTTTGAAAGATTTGGAAACTCTGGCAGTCAAAAATGAAACTAACCACCTAAGAAAGGAAATCTAAATGTCTTCCATTTCAAAGAGTGACATGCAAAGTCATCAAAATAAAATTAAGGCACAAAGTCTGAAAAGAGCAAAGTGGCTAGTAGTATCCCTCTGTCTAAACCTGTAATTTTCACCAAGAATTTCATCCTTCAGCTCAAAACTGACATCTCCTTCAGGATGGGGCCAAGTTACTCTTCCTTTTAATCACTCATCCCTCAGGATCTCTCTAACCCTACCCTTGGACATACAGAAGAGAAAGAGCTGTAAGCTTAAAGTCAGAGATGCGAGTACAATTTCTTTTCCTGCCACTTGCCCAGCTATATAAAACAGAAAAGAAAAGGGACCTTCCAGAGACATAGAAGGGATAACATAGGTGAAACTCCTTTGTAAAGAATAAAGCCCAAGACCAGTGGTTTTCAAATATATTTGTTGCCCAGTGGGCATTTGCAAATATCTGGAGACAGTTTTGATTGTCACAGCAGAAGGTGCAAGTGCTACTTGGAAGCTAGCAAGTCAAGGTCAGGGATGTCGCTAAACATCCTACAGTGTACAGGACACCCCTCACATCAGGGAATTATCCAGCCAAAGGCCAATAGTGATGAGGTAAGGTGCTCTGCTCGAAACAAATGTGAGCCACCCTCAGCTTCCCCAACCAATGCACTGGTGTGGGGAAAATGGAAATTCCTGACCAGGATTCCCACCTGGCCTTAATAGCACCCCTTGTGTGTATAATAAGTACATGTTGGCACACTTATGGGATGTTTACTGGTGACACAGCCATTGGTCAGTGACAGGAGTATTGGCCCAGCAGCGTGGAGAGGAAACACCCATTCTCCCCTCCCCTCAGTCCCTGCTACATAATTGGTCAGGCATCTGCCAGACACCAGGGACCTTCAGCAGCTCCTATTTGAGGAAAACAAGGTTCCCTGCAGGCAAATCACATTACAGTATTACTTCTAGCTTGTCAGTTTTTAGCAAGTGGGGGGTTGAGTCTAATTCATTTTCCTTCTCAACAAAACCATACTGCTAACAAAGCATTATGCAAACACCCACATCCAACATCTTACAAATGTTACATACTTCCCAATGCTTCTTTCTGCTCCAGAACTCTGGTTTCCTCATCACCCACCTCTCCAATCTCATCAGTGAAGATTCAAAATGTCATCATCTCTACCCTCTACCCTCCCCAACAGGTGATCCAGCCTCTGACACAAAAAGGAAACAGAAGCCATTAACCAAAAGCTCCAACTTCCCTGTCCTCCTCTGTCCTGCTGTCTACAGTGTGATAATGAACGGTACTCAGGAAATCCGTAGTTCTGCAAGAGAAGAATCCTGTGTGTTGGTTAAAGGGAAAAACCCTGCCAAGAAATCTGGAAGTGGAGAGGGGGAAAGTTAATCATCCCAACAACCAGACTGAGATGTTTCCTTCCCTTTAGCAAAGTCAGCTCTCAGCAAGAGTTTAAGGAAGGAGGTGCCACACCACTGTACCTGCAAGTCTGTATGTAATAAAGGATCTTAGAAGGAATCAAGTCAAATTAGAGTTTGGGCATTTCCTTCAAATTTCTTACACCCCTGCCTTTGTGTTTCCTGTTTTTCAGCCTTTCATTCATTCATTTGACAGATATTTGTTGAGACTATCTATGTGCCAACATTCATTCAGGCAGTGTAAACAGAGGTGATTTAAAAAGAGTCAAAAAATTCCTGTCCTCACAAAGCTTACATTCTTCAGGGAGTAAGTGAAAGAAACAAATAAATGCATGGTGCAATCCAAGGGGATGTTTGCTAGGCAAAAGAATACAGGTAAGGAGGAGAGTTGATGAAATTACAAATAGGAGAGTGAGAGAAGACCTATGTGATAATGTGAGTGGGTCTCCAAGGAGAAGAGGAAGTTAGTCATGCAAATAGCTGCAAGAAGGCCATTACAAGCAGAGGGAAAAGCCAGTGCAAAGGCCCTACGGCAGAAGTCAGCCTGCTACATTTCAGCAACAAGGAGCCCAGTGTGGCAGAAACAGAGTGGGGAGAAAAGTGGGAACAAAAGAGGTCAGAGGAGTAACAGAACCCACACCACCATAGTTTTGTCAGCCATTGTAATTAGTTTGGCTTTTCCTGGGGGTAAGAAGGGAATTCATTGGATAATTCTGAGGAGAGACATGACAGGTGAAATACATAGTATGCCAGATATCAAAAAGTACTATGGAGAAAATGCGGGAAAGAAGCGGTGATACAATGGGGGAGGGACTTTGTGGTGGTCATTTTGCTCTTCTCCATCCTCTTTGCCCTATTTTAACTCAACTGACTCTCCCAGGCTCAGCTCAAGATGGCATTCCTCCTGGAAGCCTTCTCTGCACCTCCCTCCCTGAATTAGGTAGGAGTAAGCCTCTTCTGTGCTCTCATAGCTCCCTAAACAAGCTTTTCCCACATTTATCACACTGCGTTGTGAAAACCTGTTTATTGTGTCTAGTGAGTGCTCACAAATGTTTCTTGAAGAAATGAAAGCATGAATGGCAGCAGGGAACAGTCCCTGAGCCTAGCTGGAATAGAGGCGCTGATAGTGGAAATAAAAGGAAGAGGCAGGTGTTAGAGACGTTATTAACGTAAAATGATATATCTGATAACTTTATGAATGTTAAAGTGGCCAAGGAGAAAAGTTCCTTGAATGATCTCATAGGTTCTAATAACTGGAAGGCTTAAGAGAAACAGGAATTCTTAAAGGAGGAGCTTCTTTATATTAGCTTTTTAGGATAGACAAATCTAATTCATTCAACCATTAAACAGCCTTTTACTGAGCTTTTCCTAAATTTCATTCCCCATGCCAACTCCTGGTAAGAAAATGCTAGAATATGTCATGCTCTCTGCCCTCAAAGGTATAGGGAATGGGGAATGAGACATAAAAGACAGGCTAAAGCGCTGTTGTGTACAAGTAACATTATAGGGCACCATTGTATAGCTGAACTTCCCACTCCTAAAGTTGACAGCGTGGTGTGGGGGAAAGTGCGAGAGCTTCTAAGTCAAATGATCCTGGTTTCTAGCTTTGTACCTAAATATCTGGGACCCTAAGGAAGCTGTTAACTCTCTAAGCTTGACTCTCTTCAATGCAAAAAGAGAGAGAGAGAAGGAGAGAATAAAACCTACTTGCTACGGTTGTTGAGAAAATGTAATGGGATAATATATGGGAACCATCTACAATGATACCCTGAATACTAGGAGCTTGAACGATGATTCAGCTTCCTTCTCTTGTAGTCCAAAGCATATGGCAGGGTTGCATCACCAGTCCCAGGAATTTAAAATTTGCATCCACCTCATTTTCAGACATAACCTCAGCATCTTCCATATTCTGTTTCACACTGACACTTTTATTTTCCAGACAAAGTATTTCTCACTTCAACAGCTGGAGAACAAATGTAGACACTTTTATTTTCCAGACAAAGTATTTCTCACTTCAACAGCTGGAGAACAAATGTATTGTAAGGAGACAGGAAGGAAGACAGCATATCCCAAATTACTTTCTATATGAAGCTTACTCACAAAAAATATACATAATTTTAAAAGTTTTGTACAAGCCCTCAACATTCACTTAGACAGGCATCATCGCAATCACTGACACGTCCCCATTCGGTCATGGACAAAGCCCTATCTAGGAATAAAGATCTCCCTTCAAAGAGTTGATGCACTCTCTCTCATGGGAACAGTTCTGCCCTTCATAGTGTCAGGTATGTCTGTCAAGACTCAATATTTGCAAGGTGACACTGAAGTTCCAAGCACATCTGTCACAGAAGAAAGTTGGGGGTCAAAGGGAGAGAAAGAGTTTGATTATGGAGGCAGGAAGTCTCAGTTAATCCAAGGGCCCTTTGTGATGGGAAGTAGGTGAGAAAGGAAAATGTGTCTGCAGCAAAGCAAAACGAGCACCTGTTTTGTTTTGTGTTTTCACAGGGAGTAAAGTCAAGGCATAAGAGAATACACATGCCTTGCACAGAATTGACCAAAAAGTTTTCTGGAAAAAATTAATTACCCCAGTGGGGTAATGTGGTTGTCCTCAAGAACTTTAGGAGAAAAAATGACACTGAGAACAGAGAGAGATGGGACTGACATTAAAGCAGTCACCATTCCCGGTGACCAGGAACTCAGCGAAGACAGAGCAGAGGAAGCCCCCAGTGTTACCCAGCTGGTGCCTGAGGTAGCAGTTGGTGGGCTAGGAAGGGTCTGAGCCTACAGGAAGGCCATCAGTGATCCTGAGGGTGAGAGCAGGGACTCTGGGTGGGGAGGACACAGAGAGAGAGGGCAGGGGTGGGACTGGAAGGAAAGAGGGTGAAGGAATGAGGAAGCATAGGTATGGTGCGCCTTGAGGACCTCAGATGAGGCCCTATCCACCCCTTGGACCCCCATGAGTAAGATGGCTCAAAGTCACAACTGATGACACCTTGTTGGGGAAGGTCAATGAGAAGATGTGACCGCGGCCGCCCCCTGAGCTGGACCCTGGCAGTCAGGCTCCTTACCCCCGCCCCTCTCCTTGGAAGGTGTGTTCCGCCTGCCTCTCCCGTGCCCAGAGGCTGCCCAAAGGACCCAGCCTGGAGATCGGGAGGTGGTGTTGAGACCATCTGGACAGGAGACATGACTGAGCCCCACTAAGGCTTCTATGAAACTATCAAGATCTGGCAGTGGGTGTGCAGAGCTATGCGTCTTGCTGCCACCCAGGACAAGCCTCATAGCTAAGTTCCTTTGTTTATTAAACCTGCCACCTACCGACCCAGAGCAGCCTGCCTCTTCCATGCGTCTTTCCCTGCGCTCTGTGTACCAGGCTGCCTTCAGATCCCACCTGGGAAGATCTCCTGAGGTGCTTGCACACCCACATCCTCTCAGATCCACCCCAGCTCTGCAGCATAGGACATTTACTCAAGCCCTTCAGTACAAGGGTTGCTTAAACATCTTAGACAGATTATATTTTCCATCCAGAGAAGAGAGCCAAGTCTTCAGAAAGGAGCAGGGTCCAGGACAAATGCCTGCACACCCCCTGGTGGCTTGCTAGACCCCAGAGAACCAACGAATGAAAACCACCTCAACTGAAAAAATAAAGAGCCATTTGACTTCTGTCCCCACTCCCACAAAGGGGCTCTCAAAGCACATGCCCTGGAGGCCCCCAAAGACAGGCCATTCATGTTAATCATTACTTGTTCCCTACCTTAAAACTGAGAGTGCATAACACTTTACATGCAATTAGGAAGCTCCCTAGATGGTATGAAGAAAGAAACTGATGGATTTTAGAGGCTCCCTAAAATTCAGAAGCACTGATATGTCTAAAACAGCTACCAAGGGAGAGAGAAAGACAAGTGAAGAGAAGGGTGTTAGTTTCAATTAGAAAAAAATGCAGTGGAACATCTTTTAAATTATAAACACACTTCCCGGGCATGGTCAGCCACTACTGTTGGGGAAACATAATCACATCTGTCAAGTCCCTTTTCCCCTGTAAGGGAACGTGCTCACAGGTTTGGAGATTGGGACAAGGATGGCTTTGGAGGTGGGGAGGACCATCCGGCCTACCTACTGACTGGCTCCTTGTTGCTGCTCCTCATTGAGGGGCCTCCCAACAATGAGACTTAGAACCTGTGTTCCCCACCTAAGGAGACAGTCCAGTTCTCAAAAAGCCTGCCTGGAAGAAAGTTCCTCAAGTCTGGGGAGTAGTAATTGGGATCTCCAAAAGACTCTTTGGGGCCTCTACTCATTTCCCCCTCATTTCCTTATACAGTGTTCCCCTCAGTCCTCCCACGCTGAGAAAGTGAAAGTATGAAAACAGTAAAACATCCCCTCTTTGACCTATAACAAGTTAGAAGGAGTGAGAAATAAAACCTCTTATGTTAGGCCCCGCTGAACACGTACATGTCAAATGCTTCCCATTATCCATGCTAGAGTAGAGATGAGGTCCCCACTCCAGGGAGTTATAGCTCGCCCAGCCCTGCTAGGTGGCGGCCACACTTTCCACCCTCAGATGCCTTACTGTGTGAGGCTGAGGTCTCAGATGTGTGAAGAAGCCAAGTGTGACACTGTAGAGAGAGCTGATTACTCTGGTGAGTGCAAGGAGTTTCTGCACGCCTCTACACGTTCAGATGCAGAAGTGATAGATATCACTCCGCTGGCCAAAGAAAACAACCCGGCAGCTCAGACTGGCACCCCTACTCATCACCCACTGGACACACAGATAGATGAAACACACCCAAAGATACACAGGTAGATAAAAGAACTTCAGAAATCAGTATGTTTTATAAGGAAAACAAAACAGGTCTACATGATGGCAAATAGCTGCTCTGGGTGAGGGATGCTAGTCCTTTAGGAAAGGCAGTCCAAAAACAGTCCAAACCAGAGCACCACATCTCTGTATCTCTACCAAGATTTTCCAGTGAGGAACTCCTTTCTCAGAAGAGGCATCTTCCCTGACCTTTGGTTATAAAGTGAAATTATCCAAAGGTAGATG